TATAGTTCTGGTGGGTAAACCATTGTGCTGATAAAACAATTGTGCTTTCCTTTTAATTGGAATCTGTTCAGTTTTATTTTACAAATAATGCTTTTTTATGTCTTTCCTCTGCTACAGTGTTTGTGAACCTGCAGTTCCCTGCTTGCAGAGGTCTTTATACCTCATAACAAATCATCACTTGATCTCACTTTTACCAAATTAAACAGAAGAAAACTCTCTTTTTTGGTTGTATAAGGTGTTTTAATTGTATGTCAGTTATCTGCAACCTGTCTGTGTTTTCAGCATCTCATATGACAGGGTACCACAACTGTGTGAGTGCTGGTTTTTCCAGTGTAATGTAAAATAATTTCTCTCTTCTTGTGTTGCTTCCCTGAAATGCCACAATATCACAGAGAAATCTCTTTCTTTCCCATCCATCTATAAATCCCAGCTCATCAAAAGACAGCCCTTCTGACTGAAGAGCTATGCCATCTGGGACCACATCAATGCTAAGATCACCTGAGCCCAGGGGCCAGGGAAAAGAATGAGGGTGGGTCTCACACGCCCAGTGGTCTCATTGCCCAGCCCTGCAGCCAGAGCAGCATTTCAAACTGTCCAGGTGTAAACTTACACCCTTTCCAAATGTGGGAAAGGCCAGTCTGTTGAAACCAGGGCAAGTGCAGTTGTGCTGCTCCTTGTATAAATCATGTGGGAGGCTCTCTAATTCCACCCTACGGCATTTACATGTTTAATCTCCTTTTGCTGTTTTTTTGAGGTTTCTCACAAATGCTTCTGCCTCAGGAGATCCTGCCCAAATGTCACTGCCACAGCACAGCCTGACCTTTTCCTGCAAGTGCTTGTGTTGCCTTTGTCACAGCTCCCAGGTGTTCCCTGCTCGCACTTCAGGGTGAGACGTGCTCACAGACTCCTGCAGTATGAAGGCAAACTGCTGAGACAAGTTGTTTATTTCCAATGGCATCTTCTGGCTGTGATTTGGATCCCACTGCAAGATTTCAGTGGATAGAGCTGGTGTGGGATCCCTCTGAATCGGTTACCTCTGAGTCTTAAAAATTTTTTTTTTTGTGTGTTAACAGAATCTCTTACATTTTGAAGAAAATTAAGTGAGGTCAGTAGAGGTCTGAGTTTCCTCTTGCCTGCAAATGGAAGCAGGATTCAGTTCCAGTCAGAAAATCTTTGCTGGAAAAAGTACTGATGCTGTCTTGGCAGCTTCAGTACAAGAGCTGGCCAGAGGTCCAGAGGGGATTCCTCGGCTATTCAGTACAGGTGCCCCTGTTATGAACTCACTTGCAAGAAAAGATCAGTTTCAATAAATCTAAGTGTTCCCAGCCTCCTCTTATGTGTCAGAAAGCAGCATGGGACAAACACCCCTTTGCAGGGCAGTCAGGATGGCTGCAAAACCCAAGAGACAGGAGGCAAACACCTCGGCTGAAGTAAGGAGTTATTACAATGGAGAAACATGTTTGCATTGAAAGGGTAATCACCCATTCATCCAAGCGAGTTAAACAATAGGATAGAGGTCTCGTTTTCTCCAGTTGTTTCCCAAAGAAAAATTCTTTATTTCTTCTCTCTGAGATTTATGTCTTCTCTCTGACTATTGGACGCCTACTGAAGGGCTCATTAGAGACACCCTTGCTGCTGCCAAAAGAACCAGCTGGATTATTGAGCCTGCAGATCATTTTTTTTCTGCCCTTATTCACTTCCTACACTGAAAAACTAGTTTGCAATCCTCATTTGTGCTGTCTATCCCACGTGGTGGGGACTGCTCTATGCAGAGAAGAGTGTCTGTTCCCAGCCCAAAACACATCACTCATTGTGATGGCTTCTGATGTTAAACTCTGGAGCACACGGCGCTCCCTGTGCTGCCTGTAGGTATCACAACAATCACACACTCATTTCACACTGAATTTTGGCAGCAGTTGGTTTTGTGGTCCTCTGTCCTTTGCCAGGGGATGAGCAGAGGCCAGCACAGCCCAGAGATGTGGGGCACAGGAGTCTGAGTGTGCCCAGGACTGGCACATCCTTCACGTCCCATGTGTGCAGAGCTGGGCTGTGCTGCCCATTCCATTATCAGCACAGAACTGCTGTTCCCTCATTCCCTGGCAGAGGCTGTGGACTCCCCAAGTCCCAGGGGTTTGTTTACTGCAAAAGGTTTCAGTGTCACCCAGCCTGCCAGGTAAGCTGACAAATCCATAAGTTTCCTCAGGCAATGAAAAAATAGAACAACTTTTGATTCATTGTGGGTAGCCAACCCTTTCTGAGAAGGAGGAGAGGACTTTATTTCTTTACAAAGTGAAGCAGAAGGCTGGTTTATATAGTGTGGACACCACACAAGATTTGGAGATAGCTGTAGTTTATTTGGCCACAGATTGAAATTTAACGTAAAGCAATGCCTTTAGTCTCAAATTAACTAGGAAGAGCTTCTTGCGTTATTCCAGAAAGCTACTGGTAAAAATGCATGGTCAAGTGCACTGCAGGCTCTTGAAAACTGTGTGCAAATATGCAAGGATTTATGTACCAAATACGTGTTTATATTACTTCACAAACCCTATACAAGTATCCATTCAAATGGAGGCCCTGTTGATTGAAATTCTTTTATCCCCTGACCTGTGTTGGGAGCTGTGTTTATTCCTGGCTGAAGATGTGAGCACTGATGGCATTAATTCCATCAGGCTGTTCTGTAAATTCTTCATTGTCTCCTGCACTGATGTCAGTTATTTGCGTTGTAATTTCCAACTGAAAACCTGCAAATTAGATTTAGGGGAAACTGGACACTGAAGCACTTTGCTCAGGTGATAATTTTGTTTACTGTTAAGACAGTGCTTAGACCTAAATGTGAACTCTTCCTCCATAATACACACTCCCAGACACAGAACATCTCATTTAATTTGATTTCAAAAGTGTAATTTTATATGTCTGAGCAACTGGTAGACTAAAATCATTGGATCAACTTTGAGAAATAAAGTGCCAGATTCACTGTGAACACCCAGTGACACCAGTGTATTATAGCACAATATTAAATAGACTAGGGGCTCCCCAGCTGGCTGCAGGAATCTGTGCATTATAACCTACAACACAATTGTTGTTCATGAAGGTGACAGGGATAACACTGACCTGAATTTTCCGTATCAAGCATGTCTCTACTTAATTGGTTTCAGTCAGGATTTTCAGCTAGTCTGGTGTGCATTGACTACACACTGTGGTTTCTATTGAAGTGGCTTTTATTTTGGAAACACAGATGTGTGTTCTGCTGCTCTAAATTATTGGGGTTACAGTAATTTCTTGTGATGCCAGGGTGGGAATTTGATCATGAGTCACACCGTAGTTGACATCTGGACTCCACTGCCCGGCTGGCAGGACTGGAGCTGTGGAAGCCTTCTGCAATATGAAAATTTTAAGAAAATGTCAAACTTGTCATGGACTCTGAACTCGTAGCTCCTTACTTGCCCTGCCCACATGAGGTGATTTTTTATTTTCCCTAAGAAAAGGAGAGGGGAAAGGACTTAATTTAAGGATCAAACTGTGGCTTTCTCATTCAACATAGAATTTTGCATATGAGTAAAAACTTCGTCATTTTTTTCATCCAGATCTGCTTGTTCTAAATGAGCCCTCTGGCTTATCATAGCAGTTATTGGTACAGAGGGAATTTATAGGCACTGAGAAGTGCTTGTAGGAAGAAGTGTCATGCGCACACATTAGTGCATTATCTGCAGGGCTTTGGGAAACTGCTGGGCTTTTGCAAGCACGTGGGAAAAAAACACACCAGAAAATTGAGAAACTGGGTCATCTGGATTCATTTACTGCATCTTTCCAGCTGGGCTTTTGTTGCTGCTCAGACTGACATATCTGAGCTCACACAGATTGTGCTGCAGCAGGATTCTGTGGCATCCTCCATGCCTGCTGTCCCTGCACTCAGCTTCTTCATACTCCTGGGTGTCTGGAGGGCCCAGGAAGGGCAGGGTTGTGTGGAGCTGGCTGTGAGCTCTTATGAGCAGCAAGAGGCTGTCTCTGCCCTAGTGAGGGTCCCTGCAAGGTGCTACAGGCAAAGGCACAGGCACACAAGGGATGTAACAAGCTCCAGCATCATGCTTGTAAGAAAGAATAGCCAGCTGTGTGTCCAGGTGTGCGCTCAACTCCCTGGACTGTTCTGCCTCTTACCTTATTCTTCTTCAGCTACTTGTTCCTCCATTTCTTTTTTTCTAAGACAGTACAAGAGCCTCTCCAGTCTAGGCTGCTTTTCTTCCTTTACCCCAAAACTCTCCTGAGAAATTTGCCAGACCATTTTTGGGATAGGTGCTAATTTGGCGGCTGTGTTTAAACTCAGCATAATCTCATTCTGTTGGTGAATAATGATCAGAAGGGCTAAACTGGGAAGCTGAGATTATAAGGAGTGTGTTGCTTTTTTGCACAGTGTACTGGACACAACCATTTTGTGTCTCGTCACATGAACATATTTTCATACTGTTAATTTTCCTGTACAAAAATTATATTCTCTGCTGTGTCAAGAAAGTTTGTTTCCATTCCAAGTACCCAATGAGTTTTCTCTCCTATAATCTAGATTATTCAGGGAATGAGATTGCTATGGGCTGTGCACATCTTTGTCTGTCCTTTCTCCTTCCCTGAGAATTTGTGACAAGAGGGGTGGAGAATCGCTAAGGTTTTAAGTTCCTCTGAGCTGAATGCATGGCAAGAGCTCCCAGAGAAGGAGATTCTGCTAGCACCCTGCTCTATAGTGAGAGGATAAGTCACAGATTCACCCCTTATTAAGCTTCTGAGATCCCCATAGGATAGGATTGATGTGTCCCAGCTGTTTTGGTCAGAGCACATGCTTTACTCAACACCAATGTCATACAAGACATGATTTCTCCTTGCAGAACCATTTATTGGCTGGTTCAAGTGAACAGTGTGGGTATTCTTGTAGTCCTCTGTGGAAGATACAGACTGTATTAGAGCAACAGATGATACACCAGTCTCAACACATATTTTATCATCTTTTATTTTAGGTGGAAAAACTGGCAAAGTACTTGGACCCAAATGATTTGGGAAGAATCAATTTTAAGGACTTCTGTCACGGAGTTTTTGCTATCAAAGGTATGTGCATATTTCTTTAAAATAATCCACTTCAGTTCCACTAATGTTTCTCTGGTTGCAGAAAATGTAATGATCAAAGACATCCTCTCTTTTAACAGTGGTTATTTGTAGTGACAGTAGAGAAACTGGGAACAGAGCCAGGATATTTTTCTTTTTTGTGCATCTCATGTATTAATGGTGAGCAATGCTAGAGTTCCTGCATCCATAGGTGCTTGGGCATTGATTTACTGCTAATTTTTGTCAGAATAAGGGCGCTGTGGTTTAAAGACAAATACAGCAGAAGAAAGAGTAGCTTTGTGGATAACAGGCAGGGCCCAGGTTTGATACTTACAGGTTCTGATCTTGTTCTGCCACTGATCCACCTCAGGGAGTTAGGAAGTCCTTGGGTTTTTGGTTCTCTCCTAGGAAATTTAAAACTATTTTATTCCTCTTGAGGTATCTGCAAGGTATAATTAATTTGTGTTGTCAGGGTACCTGGGGTCACGTATTGGAAGTAAATGAGTTATTTACAGGTTGGCCATGCCAACCCTGAAGATGGAGATCAGGTGGACCCAACCACCCCCTCTCCAAGGAGACAGTCCTTTACAGAAGACACAGACATAGTTATGCTTTAGAGCTTAGCCTAAAGGCAACAAAAAACCAGTGAGGAGGGATTTCAGCTGATTTACTGCTGATTGCTTTTCTAACTTCCAATATCAAAATAATCCATCCTATCCTTTTCTGGACACATGGTGTGTCATCTGTAAAATGTTGGAGTGATGTCATAGCACAGAGGCTTCACTTCAGGGATGGGGTGAATGTCACAGTGATCATGGTGTGGTTCCAGGAGAAGCCTCTGCAGAGTCTTCCATTATGAGATTGTTATGAAACCATAACGATGCAAAAACATAAAAACACAGTACTTTTAATTAAAGTTTATGGCAGCCAAAGACAGTATATAATTAGGTAAAATTACAGTGAGAAGCTGCTCTCAATCAACGTTCTTGGTGACACCATCCAAGGTAAAACTGATGTGTTTGAAGAGAAGGCAAGAAGAAACACAGGAGGAAAGTTACTACATTTGTGCACAGACCCTAAAGTCTCTGCTGGAGGTTTTCCTTGAGCAGAAAATGCTGTATCAAACTGAATTCTAGTTTTAAGGAAGACACAAGCTCTGTAAATCATCTGTAAATCATCTGTAAATCTCTGTAAATCATCTGTCTTCTGTAATTCACAGTCTAAAGATTGCACAAATGCACAAAATATGATCAGGAAGGGATAGAAATGACCCAGAACATCTCTTTTGTGGTAACTGTACCCTTGTCCATGTTCCCTCAGTGATGGAGTGGGCAGCTGCATCTCCTCTACTGTGGGGACAGTGTGAGAATATTGAATTATCAAAGTCATGAGGCCTTGGGGCTTTTCATCCTTGCTCACTTTGTGGGAACTGATTTTTGTGTTCATATCCTTAGGTTTAATCCTGCAAAGATGTGACCAGATCAAACTGCCAGGTGTACCTTGCACCCCAAGCTTTTGAATAGCTTAAAAGCCCAGGTGTGGAGCATGTAGGCTCTAAATCCTTGGTGTAATGTTTGTCAGGATGTATCTGTGAAAAGATGGAGAAAAATCACCCAATTCTGCAGCATCACTAGAGCTCCCTTAGCACATCATTAGCATTTCAAGACTTACACAGACTCAGTGCTAAGTGTTTATCATTGAAGCAGCAGCAGCTGTATCTATTTCTGATAAGACACTGTGCTGCATGTTTTCACAGCATCTCTTTAGAAAAGCTGCTTCTATTGCTCACCTCACAGCATGGAAATTTTATTCATCTTTGGCTTCCTGCCATATTTTCCTTAAAAACTGAATTGGTTACATTAAAGTTCAGAAAGGTCATGTCTGCCTTGCAGAATGAAAACCTCCACCATATTGTTTTAGTGCAGCCACATCCCAAAGGGAGTAGCAGGCTTATTATCAAACAAAAGCAATTTGTCTTGGCGGCAACAGATTATAAATATGATTCTTTGACATCTCAGCCTATTACAGTTGCTTGGGGCAGTCAGATTAATAGAGCAAAATGAGATGCTACTATAAATCCAGTGGGGTTTTCAGTAATAGAGTATGAAGTTGTGCTATTCTTAGCACTGGAAGCCAAATTTTAAATTCAAGCTTTACAGTCCTAATGCTTTACTATATTTCTTATTTATGATACTTCAAATTAGTTTGTCTTATAGATGCTTGCATTTATATTATGGTGACAAAATTGTTTGCTGCACAGAGGTGATACAGTGTCAAGGTTTTTTGGTGTTTTAGTGTCTTGAATTTATTTAAATCATGATGTTTGAGACATCTAAGAGCAACAGATACAAATCAGAGTTGATCTGTCATGATTTTGGTTTGAGCATTTCATATCCAGAGTTGGATTTCAATGAAAAGCCAAATGCTGGTACTGAAAAAATCCCAAAGATATGAGTGTTTAATGTTCTGTAACTGGTTGATAGAGAAACTCCTACCTTTGGGTCTAAAATCTGCAGCTTGTCCTTTCTCCTTCATAAACCAGGGCATTTTTTACTCCTGCATGGTACAAATGAGAAGTGTTGTGTTCCTCTACAAATGGACATCAAGCCTTGTCTCTTCCTCAGTGCTTCAGAGCTGGATAAACCTCCTGGCATATGAGTCATGTACCTCTGCAGCAGCTGCTGGGATTGTCAGGTGGAAAACAGTTCATTTCCTTCTGCTGCTGAGTAGCAGGAGCTGTGGATAAGGATGAGCAATCTCACTGGCAGCAGGATCTTGGGAAGTGGTGGAGAGGATTTGTTCAAGTGGAGGTAAATATCCTAGAGAGCAGAAGTGTGTTGGAGTAGCTCATTCCCACTGTGTCTCTGGGGTGGAATACTGGACAGGTGTGGTGCTTACTATTTTTGGAAAGCTTTGCTTCTTTTGCTGGTCTTTTGTGGATTAAAGGACTTTGCCTCAGCATCTGTGCTGAGTCCCTGCTGTCTAGGCTGCTTTCCCCATGCAATTAGGCTCTGCCAGAGCCAGGGATAGGTTTGCCATTGAATTCAAAGCTTTGCAGCAATTTCATTGGAATGCCAGAGTATGAAGGTTTTACTTGTGCTGAAGCTGCCCTCTCTATCTGCTGCCTGCAGAGCTTTAATAACTGTCTGCCTATAGAGCAATTGCCATGAAATAACACCTGTAGCCTCTCGCCTGAGTGTTCTGTGGCACTGTCAGAGACACTGAGAGCAGCCAGAATATCACTCAAAGGCTGAATTCTCATTAATTTCAGCAGGGTCAGCATGGGAACCATTACTGTTTGCTCAGCAGAGCCAATGGCTTGTTTTGCTGTTCTGAATTTATATTGTACCGATCCAGTAAATATTTTCTGCCACTTGTAATACTTAAAGGCTTGAGTGGAGCTGTTAATTCCCTGTGCTCTGCAGGCTGGTGGGTTCCACAGTCAGATATGTTTGCAGGACCAGGCTCTAACTGAGCCTGACCTGTTCCTTGTATTTTAAGATTTCTATTGTCTTTCCAATAATCTCTTTGCTTTGATATTCTGCTTAAAAGTACCCAAGCCCTGACAAATAAAGGGGGAGCTCCCCCTACTGCTCTCGGTGTTACAGCTCACAGGGATGAGAAGGTATTGTATGAACACAGATTCATACAGAAATAAAATACAAAGGCAGATGCATTCTGACTTCATAACTTATTTTAACTATGAAAACAGTGCTGACTGCTGTGTAGTGTTTGGAGGGTCATGCCTTTTATAATGGGAGAGACTGAGCCACATCAGCACAGAGCATTTCTGCATTTATGAATCTGTGTGCTTTAGCAGAATCACTGTTTTTTTCAGATTAAATCATACAGCCTGTCGTTCTCCTGGAGCAAGGGAGTCTTTCCCTCATCTCACAGAAGTTTTAGGGACATTGTAGTTATGCTCTGTAATGGAATTTGGAAATGGAGAGTTGTAGGAAATCCTTCATATTTATTAACAGTGTGGAAGAAGCACAGCTGTGAATTTATACACTTCCCCACCTGCAGCAATAGCGACCTTTGAATCTTCAAAATAGTAACACAGACCATTATGTGCCTTCAAAAATCCATCTCTGTGCTTCCCTAGATCATGAGGCATCTAATTATCACAGTTGGCTGGAAAGCTTCTAGAAGCAGGCTATATATAAGCAGCTAAAAGTTAAAAAGTAGATATGTTTCTCTTTGAGTTCCTAGCACTTTTTAATGAAAATTCCAAGAACACAGATTTGCCCAAAGTTCCAAATAAATGTTCCAAAAGGGATGTTGGCTGTTCTGCTAGCTCAGACTGTGATAGGTTATTTGAACTGTGAAATAATATGAAAATAATACAGTACGAATTTTGATGGTGCTTTTTCAAAACAGAGTTTTCTAAAGCAGAATATTTCTGAGCTTCTGTTGCACTGGAGATTATTTTTTTTCCTAATAGCTTTTATAGTTTCATTCAAATGCTCCAAGCAAACATATTTCTCACAAAACCAGTGCCAAGTTTTGTCCATCTCCTTCAATTAATTATAAAATCTAATTTGCAGTCCCATAGCTGAGAAGAGTGTTGTACCAGCTGTGCCCTGAAAATCCAGCATGGACTAAGAGATGGGTATGTTGCAGTCATGTAAAAGGGGGTTTATTTGCCTATAAAATCTAGGACCAGGACAGCTGCACCAGCATGGGAATTTCAGCAAAGCACATCAGAAAACCCCAAAGTCCACATGAACCCGTTTAGGTTCTATAGATCTCAAAATTCAGTGAGGCTGTAACTGGAGATGATCTGATGGATCTCTCAGTTCTGGAAAGAATAACTTACTGACAGGAGTGGTGCTTGGGATGGCTCCAGGGACAAAGACTGCCAGTGAATGGGAAGAGCTGAGCTATCCTGGAAATAATTACCCTAGAGCTGCTCAGTGAACTGCAGTTGGCTACTCCTGAAAGTACTCGCGAGTTTCCTAAGACTTAACTAAATTTCACTAAATACACCCTGAAACCATAAATGAGTCTACTACACCACTAAAGATCCAAGGGCAGATAAAGTAAAAAGCTACTGCTGTTAGGAAAAATGCCAGAAACCAACCACATTCAATTAGGCAACCAGATTTGATTTCCTATAGTGTTAAAACTGCTTAATTGCCTGTGAAAATTGTCTGATGTGTTACGGGTTAAGTCTTCTTCTTGTAGCATTTGCAGGAAAAAGCTTTGCTAAAATTGATTTTATTTGTGGTCAGAATGTCTGTTTGTAAATTGAATGTTTGTTAGGGTGTGAAAACCATTTCTTAAATTAAACTGATTGTAAATTTGTAAAATTATTTCATAAGGGATATCATACCAGCCTGAGTGAAAAAGTTAAAAGTTCATGTCTACCCCTTCAGTGACTTGTAAATTACTTTCATCGCTTAGGACTAAAGCTGACCCAGTTCTGGCCAAATGAATTGTGTTTGCTTTTGCATTTGTAGTATTAGGATAAATATTTTTTAACTCAGATAATTTTGACAGACCAGACTAGAGAGTGACTCAGTGCTTTGTTAAACTAGAGTTTGTACACATCCGTATTTCAGAGTCCCTTGAGTGGACAGAGAAGCTGCTTCTGTGCTTGGCTCATCAGATGTCTTTAGCCAGGGAAGAAAACTCAGCAGCGTCTGGCCACTCTCATTTTGGGATCTGATTGTTTAGTCCTTTCTCCAGACACAAGCTTGCTGCCAATCTGTGTCACAGTGATGATTTACATCAAGCACAGCCTTTCACAGCGTGTTTCTCTGTAAAGGACACCCTTCAGTGCAGCTGCAGCACCTGAGCTATTCCTGGGTTACTCTTTCCTCTGTCTGCTGCCTCACTCTTATTGCAGTGCAGCTAAGTCTTCTTGCCAAGTGCTGCCCAGAAATGTAGATTAAATTCTCCCAACTGCAGCAAAGAGAACATTGAGCACATTAATCTGTATCTCACGATACAGGTAGACATCCAAATGAAATATCTCTAATCAGCCATGTAAGTGGCTTTCAGTTCTACCTCTTCCAGGAACATGAATTTATAGCCATAGTAGGACATCTCTAGTGCAAGAGGTTCTTAAAGTAGCCAGGAATTGTTCCTTTTCTTCATTGCAATGGGTTATTTTTGGACAGATTCTAGCCTTGGGTGCACACTGCTGCACAGCTTGAAATATCCACCATGGCAGTACTGCAGACCTCAGCACACAGGATTCTGCTCAGGAGTGGTTCTGCTAGCAAAGAGCAAATCTTTGTCCAGTACCTTCCTATTTCCATATTGAGATTTGCCAGAGTAAACCTTGATTTGTTGTTTTTTTCTGTCTGGATTGTGTCACACTAATTTAGCTCACTGGCACTTCCCAGGCTGCAAGCCAGGATGTGTTCTGGTAATAAGAACACACTTGCACAGCATTTGAGACACTCCAGTGTTCCCTCTTTATGTTACACCATTGTGTAACCCTCCTGGAATACCTGAAAAATTATATTTAGATGAGGGGACCAAAAGGTGAGATTATATTGGCAATGTTGAAGAAAAACACAGAATAAGAAAGCTGATGCGTCACCTGACTGCGCATCACCTTCCCGGTGATAAGGGGTGGTCCAAGGAAGAGACCAGCATCTGTTCTCCAGAGTGAAGAGATTCCAATTTGTGTCCTCACAGGGAAGAGGAGAACAGAGAACTTCTTAAAACTCAGTTCTTAACAGGAATTAAAAAAGCGGCACAATTTTGAGATTCTTGAAGCCAGTGGCCATTTTTTCATTGATTTGCTGGATGTTGGAACAGGTTCAGATGTCTGCAAGGTAGCGATGATGTGCTTTGGTAATCTCAGAGGAAAATGGTCTCTCAGCATTTCCTTCTCTTCTTCCCTTTTTAATGGAGGATAATGACATGCAGATCTTCCCAGGAGGATGAAGAGAGCCAGGCTGTGATGCCAGCTTGCATGCAGAGCAGTGCACAGGGCATGCTGCCTGCTGCACACCCCAACATCTCCACACTAAAAAGTCACTTTTGCAGGAGGAGACTGGTTCGGATGAACTGACACCCTGAATCTGCTCGCACCGATGGAAACTTGGCCTGTCACTACAACAAAAGCAAGATTAGGCTGTGTTTGCCATTTTAACCTATGCAGTCTGGTAAACAAATTGGATTAAATGCCTGCTGATGTTCTGGAAATGGGTCTGGTGTTTGGCCAGTTCTGGATCAGGCCATAAAAGCCTGGGTCAGGTGGCTCAGGTGAAGAAGTGGTGAGGGCTTCACCGACTCAGCTGGATGCAAAGGAGGCAATGCTTTTCACCCCAGTGTTTTTACTGAATAAATGACAGGCCAAGAGCTATCCTGAAGTGGTTCTCCCTAATTGACAAGGGAAGTGCAAGAATGTGATCAGGAGTAATCTTAGATAAGAAATGGACAGCAAACAGGGGACACGGAGGACTACATTTCAGACCCTGGAGATCTGGGAGCTGTTTGTGACTCTAACAGACCAGTCTGGCTGCCCTTTTGAAAGGAGGCAATATAGAAACATTTCTCACACCCCTGCTTTGGGCAGTTAAATCCTTTTTTGAAGACCCACAGCTTTTGTGACTTTCCCCACTAAAAAAACAAAAAAACCAAAAAAACAAAAACAAAAAAAAACCCAAAAAAAACCCAACAAAAAAAAACAAAAAAAAAGAAAATTGGGAGAGGAAGCACTGTTGTTAGCACAACTACATTAGGATAGTGAAGCTTGAAATTATGGTGTAAACTATTGTTGTTGAGAAATTTTAGAACACTGTAAACAATACTCTGTTCCTTACACTAATCTGCATCCATTACCATGTAGCACTTGGTATTTCTTTTCCTTTTTTGCTGGAGGTAACTCACTTTAATGAGTAGTTGCTCCATCTCATGCAGAGACCTTTTAGAAAAGCAGTTAATACTTGTGACAAGTCTCACAGTGGGTGCTGGCACAAGGCAGTTTGATGAGCAATAAGCTTTAGTTATTAATGTCAAAAGGTAGAAGCAATAAATTGAATTTTCCTCTGTGAGAGGACTAGTGAATAACCTTAGGCAAGCACAGAGCACTTTAAGCTAAAACCAAGAAGAAAAGGATTATCACTGGGTGGGCAATGTGACAGTTACAAGTAGGGCAGGTTATGTAGACAGATGCTCTCTCCAGGTAAACAAGTTTAACATCTTTCCTCTATCACCCAGTAGATTATGTTTTTGATTGTTAGTCCCAGATAAACTCCTCTTTGGGAAGTGACCCTACCACACATTCTTGCCCACTAACTTCTCCAGCAAAGTGGGCATTTAACATCTTCATTTATCCTCATTTATCTGCTCAGTACCACCTGAGACTCTTGCTTTGCTGCAGAAGCTAAAAGAGGGAAAAAGTCGTGCTGCCTTTGTCCATGTGACATTTCTGAGATGTTAATGATGTCTTCATTCAGCAGGTGCTGACTCCACGTGTGCCTGTGTGTGGCAGACAGGGACAACACAGTGATTCCCCCTTTAAGGCTTCCTCCATCTGGTCATTTTTTCTGGTTTCTAAAGTACCCCTTTCCTTTGCAAAGGACTCCTCTCCATAACCACAGCATGTCTTCATCCCTACAGATGTTATTCTTTTAGATAAAACCAGCAGAGAAGGTCAGGTAATGGTATAAACCTGTTCAGTTCACACTTCCTTCCATCAGCCTGTTTCCTCTGGCTGAGCTGCTTTGTGAGTGGTATCCATGTGTAATGTCACAGCCAAATATATTGCATTAGTGCTGGGATGGGAGGGAGAAATAACACCTGGGCAATTGCAGCTTCCAAGCAGGATAGTGCACAGCATGTGCTGAGAACGTTTCACACGGTCTGGGCCCAAGGCTGTGAGCTGGGTGCTCTAAAATAACCTGGCCTGACATCACTGCCTTCTGCAGCTCATCCTGCCAAGTGCAGTCACCGATAATTAATGGGGAATGAGACATTTGGTGATTTCAGTGTTTCTATCTTTGTCTCAGGTTTTCAGATGAGAGAAGGACCGAGGGAAACACAGACATTGATTTTTTTCAGCTCTTAATGCAGTTATTAACAAAAGCAAACACAGAAGCTTAAAATCTCTGGTTGCAGTGCGTAGATATTTGCTTGCCAAACTCCCTGTGACAGAGCTTTTTTTGCAGGGGGATTTGTGACACTTAGGCATTGCCCCTTTGTCACTTTGACTAGAGAAAATTAGAAGCAGCTCTTCTGACACTGATGTGCAGTAGCCACTAGCCCATGCCAAGCCTGCAAATCCAGTGCTTGACTTCAGAGCCTGGGTTTGGTTAGAGGTGGGTTTGTACCCTACAGGGTAGTTTACCAAGCCAAGCAATGTTCAGTTTTCAATTTCTTTGCAGGCTAGTGTATCCATGCTGAGATAACTGCACTTCTCAAGTTCCACATGTTGAATGTGTGCTGGGCAGAATTCTGAAGGCAGAGTTGTGTTACACCTATTTAAATAAATCACAAAGCTGCCTTCCAAGGTTTTGTACATGCAAATTGGCTACAAACCAGTGTTTCTTCCTCCATTGTCCAAGTAATGGAAGATAAACTCTTGGCCTGACCGTTTCCTCTTGTTTCTTTTTGCCAGGCTGTGAAGATTTACTAAAAGATGTCCTGTCTCCTGAAAACTCTGAGCCCCAGCACTACCAGCCACAATATGTTGATTACTATTACCAGGTAAGAGAGGCACTAATTCTGTCTCACGTTAGTGGGCTGAGGAAGCCTCTGGAGTGATGTGTGGTTGCATCATTGTAAATGTTGTTGTTTTACTCGGCCCATTGACTCTTCCTTCCTATGTTCATGGCTGTTAGTGAGCCACCCACACTCTTTCAGCTGCATTTAACGTGGGTTAACTGGTGGGAAAGTATTAAGAATTTAGGTAGTGTTCCTCTTACAAACCTCAGTATTCACCTGGCTGTGAAGGGTGATCCCTGTACAAGCTTGCTGGTGCCTCACAAGTGGAAAACACTGATTTGTATCTAATTAAATCAGTCAAACTTTGCAGATGAACAAGTCCTTAGGGATCTCCTGCAGATAATAAACAGGGACTCAACAGCTGTTGGGAAGAAGAAACAATACACCAGTTGGAAACCTTTGACAGTATTTTGGCTGGTGGGTGTAGCATATTCTTAAACCATTAAAGGTCCTCATTCGTATCCTTAATTTGCCAGTGTCTGTGCAGTCTAAGAAGTAGAGCACTGCTAAGTTTTCCTTTTAGCATCTCTTTGTCCCTCCTTCACTTTACTTAGATTTTAATCATCTCCATCCATTTAAAGATTAAAGGTGCAGTTAGCATAGTACAGTCAGAAAGGATTGTGTGTCAGCGGTGTTATAGACTGCAAATGATACTGAAATCAACAGGAAAAGCATTTTACCTTCACAGGTCGTGAAGTGTGAGGACAATTCTCATGCATTGCAGAAGGATAAATGTGCTGGTGAGCTGATGTTACACCACTCCATGCAGTTACACAGAACGGTTTCCACTGTCCATACAAAAAATAGAGATATTTCCTTCACCTTAGTGTCCATCACCACTCTGCTTGTTTCTAAATCCCTGTTTTTTGTAACTGATGACATGGATACCCACCATGCTGTTGCTTGGTTAACTTAATAGATGACATAAACCAAACTCCTTGGTTTGCAGTAGCTGATAAAGGCTGTAAAATGAAAACAGGCTCTGCACACCCTCAGTGTTCCCCTATCACTATGCAGACATTGCAGGCTGGTTCTGACACTCTTTGAATGCAGGTGACAGTTGGTTTTGTATTCCTTAGAAATTTCACATCTGCTGTCATGCAAAGATGTGCTGGGGAGAGCTCTTGAAGACAAACTGCAAAATTCTGCAAACTGCGCCTCTTCTGCCATCCGTCCTCCAGGAGAGCCTGAGGGTGGGAATTGCAGTTGCTAATCCTGGTAACAGCTGCTGAGTTTCCCATTTGAGTGCTGGATTTGTGCCTCTGGGAGAGGGAGGGGGCAAAGGGTGACCCTTCCTGTTCAGAAAGAGCTCATCTGACAGTGCTGTGATGGAAGCCTTGCTGGTCACTCCTGATGTCCACTAGCCCCCTGAATGGTCCCTGCAGGGGGTGGTACCACTGCAGTGGGGTCCTGCAGCAGTGTTTACCCACTTTAATGGAGCTAGTGTGGGATTTGTGCAGCCTGGGAGCAGAACCAGGTCCTTCCACACCTGTCCAGGTGAGCTGTCGTGGTGGGGAGCAGACAGGGAATGGTGTGCACTACTGTACATCCCATGCTTATACCGTAGCACCTCTGGAGCTCTGCCCTCCAGAAGGGTTCGTTCCATCTCCGACCTGCAGGTCCTCCAGGTGCAGTTTGGAAACTGTTCGCTAGATGTCAGCTAAAGACTGGGAAAAGGCGTGAACAGCCTCTGCTCCCGCCTTAAGGATCCTCTGCTATGGCAGGAAATTGAAATTTTCATGCTGATGAAGCAGAGGAGAACTGAGGGTCAGGTGGATTTGAGACTATCACCATGAATGGCGTTCGTTCCCAGTTCCCAAGGAAGAACATACGGAAAACATATAAGCTGTCCTTGCAACTCCCAGACCTTAATGACTGTGAATTCCTGGTGCTGTAATCAAATTTATGGGCAGCTCCCATTGGCGCAAATGGTCGTTGCCTGTCTAATCTGATTTTCACCCCAGTGCACCCTTTGCATGTCTCTCAAATTCCCAGGCAGCAGAAGGACACAACTGCTGTGATGGTACAAATAGATATTTTAAAAGGGAATGCATCTTTTTTATTCCACCCAAGGGGCTGTGCTTACACAGAGGCAGGTACTGAGCTGCTTCATTGTTATGCTGTCTCTGCATTCACACGATGACTTGAAAGGGAGATTCATCCTTGTCACAAGTTATTTGTGACTGTCCTCTGCTTTCACTTTTCCTTCCCCTCCCAAGAGCCCCCTCTCTGTACTGTAGCTTTCTGAAGCCCAAAGGCAGCAAATTGAAGTGAAGGTAATTCCAAGATGCGGGATGAAGTAGCAGAAGCCACTGTGTGATGCTGAACTGATCCAGCTGTTTGAATATGTTGAGTCAAATGGGGAAGAAGAAACTTCCAAGCCTCCAGCCTTTAATTACAACCAAATGCAATTAATTCAAAGGGATATATAAAGCCCCCTGATACCAAGAGTTTGGGGCATTTCATTTGACATTTTATTAATGGTCTGATTTTTTTGTTTTTCTTCAGTATGAACAAAGAGCAAAAGCTGACAAGCTTTTAAAGCTTTTAATGTCTGAAAACTTTGTCCAAAAAAAGGAAGAAAAAAAAATCCTATTGTGTATTCAATTCAAAATGTAAAGGCCATTCATTGGAAAGGTCTTACTGGTCTCTATTGAGAGGCTGTATGAGTGATATCACAGGCAAATGGAGAGCTCTGCCTTTGAGCTCCAGGCTCTTTAGGTGTGATATGCAGAACATAAAGAGCAAACTTGGTTACTACAGGATGTCCCACTGACTTCCATCAGCATTGATTCAGGCTGCAGAGTGTGTTTTCTCTTTGGACCAGAGACAGCTGCTCCACAGAAACTTAGGAGGATGGGATTGCAGTTAGGAGATAGCAGCTTTAGAGCCCTTCAGCTTTGGCACCTACAAATAAAGCTTTTCTGTCTGTGAGCTGAGTCTGTTGATTTGGTTAAAGTCTGAATTGTGCTCCATTTGAGGCACTGCTTTGGTCAAGTATTCTTTATTAGTATAATTTCTGTTTCTCACAGCCTTTAGAGAGGTAATACAAATACTCAGAATTTGCCAGAAGGCAATTTGTCAATCCCAAATTCCTTTCCCAGTGTTTGGCACTATGGCCTCAACTCTTGTTTTGGCTTCAGTTTGAAGGGAGACAAAAGATTCCCTAGTCCAGTTTGCTTTGTGGCAGGCATCTGGTAGCACTTCAGAGCCCTTGGGTAGCCTTTTGGAGATGGTAACCAACACAAAGTCCACAGCTGAAGTTTGTGTGTGAAAACCCAGGCCCAGACTGAGCCAGCACAAACAAAGCAGAGTGCCTGTGTCTCACATTTCCAAATGGCTGGCTCTGGGCCTTCCCGGGCACCCGGCCAGCTGGGAGCACTGGCCACAGGACTCCCAGGGAATTAGGCTGGCTGCATCTGCAGCTCCCTGGCCAAGGTTTGCACTGCAGGCCCTGAGAAGCAGTGGTGTGGGTCTAGGTGCTCTTCTGTCTGAGCCCCTAAGTTCAGGGAAACAGGAATCAGAACAAGAGCTCTTCTGTCAGCTCTTCACTTGGTGTATTTTGGCTGCTGATTTAAAGGGAGCTTGAATCTAGAACACCCCAACAAATGACAGAAGAGGGGTTGAGTGACATATCTTAGAGCCTCACCATCAGCTAGCAGGGCACTTCTGAGTGCTCCTTGTGAAGGGACAGACTGTTTTTACATGTGAGTTGTTGCCTTTTCACCTGGAATCAATGGCCAAAAGCCATACATGCAAACCCAGTGTAAAAGCATGTTGTAAGGTACAATAATGGCGGGGTCCTTGTTATAATCAAAGCTGTTTGTTTCTTATTAATTGTTGCTGTATTGTGTTGCCACGTACCTTTTTTTTTTTCTGTTCCCATCTGTAAATAAGAGTGACTCTGTCTCTTACCAAAGTACAGGATGATCGCTGCGTATCAAAGAATGAGCTGCCTTTTCAGTCCTCTGTGTGTTCCCCTGCCTGCCAAGTGATTAATTACACTGTATGAACAGCAGAAAAATTGTTGAAACATGACAAATAAATTGTGTTTGCCTCTGGGATGGAGCTGGGACTGCTGGCTGATCTGCTGCTTTGAAAATATTTTCAGTAGCGATTAGGAGTCCCTCACCAGCTTCTGAAAAAAGTTTTTTTCCCCACTAGCTGCTTGAGGATATCTGCAGGTGCCTGTGTCAGAGCAGAGGGGACCTTCTGCACTGTGAAAACACTGTGATACAAATGAGTTTTTCACTAGGCTGTGGAAGAAGGTAGCAGGAGAGCCTGTAACCAGAATATTTTTAATTTTCATCTCATGTGTTTAGAAGCAATGACTCCACCTTGACCGTCGAGTTGCCAGTGTTCTTGGGCAGAATAACTGACCTCATTTATTAGAAGGGTTTTCTTGAAAGTGTTTTTCCTAACATCAAACACAGGTGTTGCCTATCTCTTAATGTGAAATAAATCTTTCCTTCCACCTTCAGTGGCAGCAATAGCAGCAACACTGCTCTCTTAACAGAAAAAGCACACAAGTGGTTAAGGTGGAAATATCTTTTCAACCAACGGCCAAGAGAGGAAGCCAGTCGGTGGGGTAAAGACAAGCAGTACTAAATACATCAAACTGAAGCTTTTTTTCCCCCATTTCTTATCAGCCTCCAGTTTTCTCTACCACCCACACACTCTCAGTCACTGTTGGCTCCCATTGTGTGTTCAGCCCTGCAGATGCTCAGTGTCTGCGTGTGAAGATTCCCTGTGCTTGAGACCTGGGATGTTTTCTGCCCCCCTGGGATCACACAGTGCATGTTTGCAAATTGCTTCCCTTGCCAAGCTGCTGGGGGGCTCCTGTGTCCTGCTGCCCCCACAGGACCTGTACATCCACAAGTCTGTGTTACATCTGATGCTCCAAAATCTGCCAGATTCTCCTTCCCCTCAGCTTCTGCTGCGTCCCCTGAGAAATAAGTGTGCTCAGCATCTCCAGAGATGGC